TGACTGCAATGCACTGATTTTTTCCTCTGCCATGCCACCCTGCCTTGGAGTCAGCCAACTATGGATTGAAACCTCTACAAACTGTGAGCCAAAACACACTTTTCCTCTTTAACTTTGGGTGTTGGGTATTTTGACTCAGCAATGAGAAAAATAACTAAGACAGTCATTATGTGTCTTTTAATTACAGAATTAAGACCATTTACATTCAGCTTTGTTATAGACACATATTTATAAATTCTTGCATTTTGTGGTTTTTCTAATGTTTGATTCTTTCCCAGTTTTTCATAGCTTATCTATTCTTCCTCTTCTGTGCATAGGATTCTGTAATTCTGGCTTTGAAATACTTTTTTCATTAGATAAAATTCTTAATCTTCACACACCAATTGTCAATTTTATTAATCTGGGTCAAAGAAGGAAAGAATCACAGCAAAATCAATAGAAAATTTATTGATGCTTCAGGCAAAAGTAAATACAATTTCTTTTTACTTGCAATATTCAGTAAAGCAGTTTATGTAATTTGCTGTACAACTTAGAAAAAAACCTTAAAATAACTTAAAATAGAACTGGGATTATATTTTGCTTTGTTTTGTGTACTGTTGTATAACTGATTCTCTGCTTGTGGAATTTCTCAAAAGATGACTCTCATGCGTTCTTAAAAACCATCACAGATACATGAAAATTCTCATGCTCAGAGATTTTCCAGGGAAATAAATGAATCATTATTTTCCCTGGACAATAAGATAGAGTCATTTTAAGTAAAGCATTCAACAAAGGATTTTAATTTTTAGTTGCTGAAAGTATTACTAATGTATTTTATATTTTAATCATCTTTTTGCAAAAATCAATGAAATTAACTAACTTATCAAAATCATTTTCAAAGAAATGAATTGTAACTATAGATAGCAATGACTTGAGAAATATTTATTGTTTTTCACTTTGAATATTCTAATTAGTTTCTAAATAAAAACTAGTAACATGGGTTAATGTGATTACATAAATGGGCTCTTGACCAAGAAGAACTGGTCATGTCCAGTAACTGAGGTTTTTGCACTTAAAGATCATTAATATTTAACTGGACAAAATGACACTCAGCTGTTTGTTCTCAAAGTGCAGCTAAATGTACCCTAGTGTGATTTATTTGGATAGAATTCAAATACAATACTCAGATTTGGAGGTTGCAAAGAGACAGATTTAATAAGCCACTGCTAACAGTTGTGGGAGAAGCCCACTTTATAATGTTGGTTTATGGCATCTAATTCCATAATTCTTATTTTGTCTCCAAATTCAGACACAGATGCTTTCTGTTTCAGGACAGTCAGTCACATATTAATTCAACAATTATTCATTGCACAATCACAAGGTGATCCAGTAGGAAATAAAGCCAACAAACTTTCCACTCTCGGAGAGCTTCTTCACAGTGGAGAAGGACAGAAAGCAATACAAATAAGGAATTAGAATTACAAATAAGAAGGGTTTAATGCTTTGGGAAGCAAAACGAATTACGGTGGGAGTTGGTTACAGCTCTAAATACAGAGGCAGAAAGAACATCATGAGAAGCTGACCCTTAAAAGCAAAGATTTACAGGAGATAAAAAACCACCATGCATTTTTATCTCTGTCTCTCCAATCCTTTTTCTTTGGATCTCTCCTCTTTTCCTTCTTTCTCTTAAGTAGAAAATTCATGTGATGAAATGCAGTAATTCACTAATGCTTCTGTTCGCCAACAATTCTGTCCACAAACAGAAGTATTGAGCAAAAATTTGCTTCTGTTTGTGAACTCCACATTGGGTGATGAACACAATTATGGTCATCTTCCCCAGAATTGTGGAATGAATTAAGTTCATGAACGGAGGCACCACTGTTAGTATTCCAAAGCTGTCTAGTCTTTGTCAAAGTTATATAGTTCTCCTGTTTATAAAGGTAATCTAATTAACATTTTCTGCAGTTGTGCTGATACCAATAGCACACTTATAACTATTCCCTTATTAGCCTTTGAGAATGGTAGGATTCTAATAATAATATTGTTATGAGGGGGAGGAGGAAGGGAGGGACACTAACACTGCTAGCTAACCCTGATATATAAGATGGCCCTGCTACAGTCTTACTGAAGTAATCCTTGATGTCACAAACGGCGATAACAATGCAGCTTCCATTTTAACCAGGAACTTTTGATGATCGATTGTGATGCTCATTTTTTCTGACCACTAGAGTCTATGAACTAAGTTGCTGACATGGTT